TGACTCAATTAAATAAATAAACACACACACACACACACACACACACACACACAATGGTAGAAACACTCACAGGAGGCATTACTAATTTTTCCAGGCTGTAACTAAACCATGTAAACTGAATGATGCTATCTATAATTTACCTCTTTAGAATTCTACAGAAGAAAAACCTCATTTTCCCAGGGAGAAACTGAACCCTTTTGCCCTCCGGGGATGGCCGTCGTCCAAGCAGTTCACAGAATCTACCTGGGAAACTGAAGCATGTCTGCATCCAACCTGGCAGCTATAAAAGGGCCGTGTCGCATGGAATTACCCACGCTCAGCTGCTTCCCGTGGCTCAAAACATGTTCGGGACATGGTAGTGCCAAGATAAACCCTTACTCTGTCAAGTCATATTACTTGAAATTATTTACCTCTCTTTGCTTATATATACTTACAAACCCAGACGATTTAAAAGAATAAACTGTGGACTCCTTCCTACCCCTGTTCCCTAGCACCCCAGGGTTCTTTCTTTCTTTCTTTTTTTTTCTTTTTTTGAGTTGGAGTCTCACTCTGTCACCCAGGCTGGAGTGCAGTGGCAGGCTCACGGCCACTGCAGCCTCGACCTGCTGGGCTCAGGCGATCCTTTCGCCTCAGTCTTCCAAGTAGCTGAAAATACAGGCGTGTGTGCCACCACACCCGGCTAATTTTTTGATTTGCTGTAGAGATAAGCTCTCGCCATATTACCCAGGCTGGTCTCGAACTCCTGGGCTCAAGTGATCCTCCTCAATCCTCTTGCCTCCGCCTCCCTAAGTGCTGGGATTATAGGTATGGGCCACGGCACCCACCCAGGGGGATTCTTTCTTAAGGACAGGAAGGGGGTGAGTCCCTTCCTGCCCTTCATAGGGATCACGGCCCACACCCCTATAACAAAGACAGATTAATAACAGAAAAGCAGAATGGATTTTTTGGATTATGGTTTTATGTGACACAGGAGCCTTCAGAAGGGAGACCCAAAGCTACAGAGAAAATGATCATTTTTATAGCAGTATGAACAGCTGTGCAGAAATATGATCGGGTGCCTGTAATCCCAGCACTTTGGAAGGCCAAGGTGGGAGGATCACTTGTGCCCAGGAGTTGGACACGAGCCTGGGCAACATAATGAGACCTTTTCTCTACAAAAATACAAACATTAGCCAGGTGTGGTGGCATACATCTGTAGTCCCAGCTATTTGGGAGGCTGAGGCAGGAGGATGGCCAGAGCCCAGGAGGTCAAGGCTGCAGTGAACTGTGATCATGCCCCTGCACTCCAGCCTGGGCAATGGAGTGAGACCCCCCAACTCAAAAAAAAAACAACTATAATTGGACCGGCCAGGCATGGTGGCACACACCTGAAATCCCAGCACTTTGGGAGGCAGAGGCAAGAGGATTGCCTGAACCCAGGGGTTCAAGACCAGCCTGGGCAACATGGTGAGAGCTCGTTTCTACAATAAATCAAAAGATTAGCTGGCGCGCACCTGTGGTTCCAGCTACCTGGAGTGCTGAGGCGGAAGACTCACCTGAGCCCAGTAGGTCGAGGCTGTGGTGGCCGTGACCATGCCATTGCACTCCAGCCTGGGCAACAGAGTGAGACTCCAACTCAAAAAAGAAACAAGAAAGAAAAGAACCAAAAGGGTGTGATCCAATGGTAACAGACCAAGTGGGAAAACTCAGCAAGGCCCTTTCTAGATTGTTCTTGACCTCTGCAGCATCATTCCTTCCTCCCAGGTATGGGCCAGGACCCTCTGGAATGGGACCAGCCGGCACACGGAAAGGCAGAGTGGAAGGCAGGAGTATTATTTCTAGGATTTATGGCTGGCTTTGGGGAAAGGAGATTCTAGTTGCTTTGGCCAGTCTTGGGGAAGAGGGAATCCAGTTCCATGGCTTGCCTTGGGAGAGACTGAGGGGTGAGAGACAGGAGGGTGGGAGAAGGTCAAGGACTTTGTGTCTGAGGCTGCAGCTCAGGCCTTCACTTCGGTGTCGTTTTCTGAGACCCAACAGTGTCATTTCATACTTTTCTGATTGAGAAGGTCTTATGTATTTTTGGTAACACCAAAAGACTCTACAAAAACCAGAAAGATGGGGTCCTAGAGAGGGAAGTAGGGTCCACTTAACAATACCCTCGAGAGCAGATGAATATATCAGAAAGTGTTACTTAATGTTCTAAGGGGTTTTTCCTTCAGTTTCTTCTTTTGACTGTGGCTTTCCTTCCTTTTAAAATAGCTCAGTTACCTAAGTCATAGCATAGGAATGAAAATGCCCATCTTAGCCAGGTGCAGTGGCTCACGCCTGTGATCCCAGCACTTTGGCAGGCTGAGGTGAGAGGACTGACAGAGGCCAGGAGTTCAAGATCAGCCTGGGCAACATAGCGAGACTCTGTCTCAACTAAAAAAATAAAAAAAGGAAATGAGGAACAACTTTCAGACTCCTAAAGAAAAAAACAAAACTAACTTTTCTGTTGACCTCCAAACCACGAGCCAAGTTACATATCTAAAGAACCAAACAAACAGAATGACACACCCAAAGGAAAATCTCAAACCATCTCTCTACAATCAGCAGAATCTGTCCACGCCCAGCCCTGACCAGAGGGCATGCGTTCTCAGTTTCCCTTTGGCAACTTCATTTCAGACCTCACTTTCCATCTAGTTACACTGTAGTGCCAAGAGTGGTGGCTCATACTATAATCCCAGCACTTGGGTAGGCTGAAGCAAGAGGACTGCCTGGGTCTAGGGGATTGAGACCAACCTGGACAACTTGGCGAGACCTCGTCTCTACATTAAATCCAAAAATTAAGTCGGGCTTGGTGGCTCAGCCTGTAATCCCGTGCTTTGGGAGGCTGAGGTGAGTGAATGCCTGAGCCTGTGGGTTCGAGACCCGCCTGGGCAACTTGGTGAAACCTCATCTCTACAATAAATCAAAAAAATTGCTGGGTGTGGTAGCGCGTGCCTGTAGTTCCAGCTACTTGGAAGGCTGTGGTGGAAGGATTGCCTGAGCCCAGCAGGTAGAGGCTGCGGTGGCTGTGAGTATGCCACTGCATTCCAGCCTGGGCAACAGAGTAAGACTCTGACTCAAAAAAACAAAGAAAAAAAAGACACAGCATGGTGCACATTTTTCTTTGCTGCTATTAAACTGCAATTGTAACTATTTATTTTTACAATCCTTGGGTTAAAGTCTGCTCCCCAGTTCACCCACACACTCTGTGAGATGGGATCTTCTGCTGTGTTGAATGAGCTTATTGAATCCGTAAAGTTTTTAAACTTAGGAATGAAGTGACGATCCTAAATGCCCATGGATTCTGGCGGTTTAAGTCCACCCTAGTTAGTAGGAGACCTGATTTCTAGACAGAGTTGGTCTCCGCTGATTCGTTCAGCTCACGATTATTGAGTAGCTTGGGCACTGGGCACCCACTAAGTTTACTGGGAAATTTCCGAGACAACCAGGTTTCAAACAGAATCTGATAATGGAAAAAGGCATGACTTTCCTTCTTCAGAAAGGGCAGAGGGCCAGGTGCAGTGACTCATACCTGCAATCCCAGCACGTTGGGAGGCAGAGATGAGAAGTTTGCCTGAGCCCAAGGGTTTGAGACCAGCCTGGGCAACTTGGTAAGACCTCGTCTGTACAATAAATTAAAAAATTAGCCGAGTGTGGCAGCAGGTGCCTGTTCCAGCTGCTTGGAAGGCTGAGGCGGAATGATCACCTGAGCCCAGCAAGTTGATGTGGTGGTGGCCGTGAGTGTGCCACTGCACTCCAGCCTATGTAGGAGAGTGAGACGCCTACTCAAAACAAAACAAAACAAAAAAACAGGGCATGGCTGGGCACGGTGGCTCAAGCTTGTAATCCCAGCACTTTGGGAGGCTGAGGCGAGAGGATTGCTTGAGTCCAGGGGTTGGAGACCAGCCTGGACAATTTGGTGAGACCTCATCTCTACAAGAAATCAAAAAATTAGCCAAGTGTGGTGGTGTGGCACTTGTAGTTCTAGCTACTTGGAAGGTTGAGGGGGAAGGATCTCCTGAGCCCAGCAGGTCGAGGCTGCAGAGGCCATAAGTGTGCCACTACACTCCAACCCTGGCAACTCTGACTCAAAAAAAAAAGAAAGGGCAGAGGGAAGAATTAGGAGTCACCCCTCCTCCCTCCCTCCTAAAGGATCTGGCAGTGCAAAGGTTGCCCCAGGGTAGCTGGAGTTTATATTATCCTCTGCTGGCTTTGATGTTAATGAGGCAAAGCTTGAACGGATAATCAGAGGACAAGTTCTACAACTGTTGCTTTCTTTTTTTTTTTTTTTTTTTAGCCAGAGCTTCACTCTGTCGCCCATACTGGAGTGCAGTGGCACAATCATGGCTCACCGCAGCCTCAGCCTTCTAGGCTCAGGCGATCCCTCCTGCCTCAGCCTCCTAAGTAGCTGGAACTACAGACGTGCACCACCATGCCCGACTCATTTTTTTATTTTTATTTTTGGCAGAGACAAGTTCTCGTTAATTTGTCTACGCTGGTCTCGAACTTCTGGACTCAAGCAATCTTCCCACCTGGGCCTCCCAAAGTACTGGGATCACAGGCGTTGAGCCACCGCTCCTGGTCAGTGTTTTTGCTTTTCTTTCGAGTCGGAGTCTCACTCTGTCTCCCAGGCTGGAGCGCAGTGGTACTCTCCGGGCCACTGCAGCCTCGACCTGCCGGACTCCGACGATCCTTCGGCCTCAGCCTCCCAAGTAGCCAGGACTACAGGCGCACGCTACCTACGCCCGGCTAATTTTTGGATTTATTGCAGAGGCGAGGTCTCACCATGCTTTTCTGTTTTTCTTTCTTTCCTTATTTCTTTCTTTTTTTTTTCCCAACACTGGATGGCCCTGAGTTAGCTGGATCCACGCACCCCCGAGTCAGACGGTTCCAAGCTCGGGGACTTTCCCCGCACTGCGGGTGGCCCGAGGGATCCGGGTGGTGCGCGGTGTGGGCCTGGGTCGGCCGCAGCCGGGAGCAAGAGTCCAACCCACCTTCCAGCCCGTCAAAGCCGAGCACCACGTCTGAGGCTCGCCCCTGCCTGTCTTTGACCTCCAGGGCTGTGACCGTGCAGCCCCAGGAGATGATGTCCACTCTCAGCTGGTCCGATCGCAGCTGGAACCTCTCCACCGTCCCGGCCCCCGAGGGCAGCTCCCCGAACACGGCTCTGGCCACCGACACCATAGGGAAGTCTCGGGGTGCGCGTCCACTCCCGGATCCTGGCGCTCCAGTCTGGGAGCGCAAAGTTGCAAGGGGGGGAAAGGGCGTGGCCCGGCCCAGGCCCCGCCCCTCCGCCCGCCGGGATTGGGGGCGTGGCCGCTCCTGCAGGAATCTCCCCTGGGGCCTTCCAGATCGCTCCCTGGCCCGAGGGTAACCCGGAGGCGAACTTTCCAGCCAGACCTGCCCTTCTTTTCCTGGGCTCGCCTGGCTGCATTGCATGTCGGGAGTGGTAGTCCAGGGGGAGGGGGATTGCATTTTGGGGGCTGTAGTCTTCCTAAACCCCAGTCTCGCGTTTGCAGGGTTCTAGCTCCTTCTCCCGCGTACTTTCTCAACAAGCAGCGAGCCGGTCGTTAGTGATGGTGGCTGACTATCGGACAGAGCGCCAGACTTGGGGACAGTGAGATAGATCTTGGGAGGAAATTCGGGTTTTAAGTGAACTCTTGGATCCGGGGCGTAGGAATTACCGTGGCCGTTCAGAGAAGGGTACATCACTGCAGTCACCCCTTCACCGCTGACGGCCGGATTCTGTGGGAGCTACTGCCTGAACGCTCTCCTGACTGCCAGCCCAGAGGAGAGGCCCAGATAGGGCCCGGTGCACGGATCAGGCTCGCCTTATGTGGGGAGATTAGAGACAGCCTAGAACTTTATTTCTTCCAAGGGACTGGGAAGGGGCCTGGTTATCTACCCTCTTGCTCCCAAAGTCCAAAGTTCCTTTAAGAAGGGATTCAGGGCCGGGTGCAGTGGCTCACACCTATAATCCCAGCACTTTGGGAGGCTGAGGTGAGAGGATTGTCCGAGCCCATGGGTTTGAGATCAGCCTGGGAAACTTGGCAAGACTTCATTTCTGCAATAAATAAAAAAATTAGCCTGGTGTGGTGGTGCATGCTTGTAGTTCCAGCTACTGAAAGGCTGAGGTGGAAGGATCACCTGGCCCAGCAGGTCGAGGCTGCTGTGGCTGTGAGCATGCCACCGCACTCCAGCCTGAGCAACACAGTGAGACTCTGACAAAAAAAAAAAAAAAAGCCGGGCTCGGGGGCTCAGCCTGTAATGCCGCGCCTTGGAAGGCTGAGGTGAATGGATTGCCTGCCCGCGGGTTCGAGACCCGCCTGGGCAGGCGAGACCTCATCTCTACAATAAAATAAAATCAAAAAAATTAGCCAGGCGTGGTAGCGTGCGCCTGTAGTTCCAGCTCCTTGGAAGGCTGAGGCGGAAGGATCGCCGGAGCCCAGCAGGTCGAGGCTGTGGTGGCCGGGAGCGGCCACTGCACTCCAGTCTGGGCGACAGAGTGAGACTCCAACTCAAAAAAAAAAAAAAAAAAAGGGATTCGGTCAGGCTCAGGGGCTCCCACCTGTCATTCCAGCACTTTGGGAGGCCGAGGCAAGAGGATTGCCTGAGTCCAGGGGTTCGAGACAGCCTGGGCAACCTGCCCCCACCTCCTCCTTCCACCCAGAACGGCAAGGGTGTGCTGTTCCAGGTCCTGTCACACCCTGGACTCATAACAACTCTGAAGCCTGAAGCTCAGGCAATCCTCTCGCCTCCGCCTCCCAGAGTGTTGGGATGACAGGCGTGAGGCGACTGTCATCTCGCCTGACTTCCCAGGGTTTTTCTAACACAGATTATCCAGGACCAGATTTAAAGAAATATGACTCTAACATTTGATGACTAATCTCAGATATCTTCCCAAAATAGGCTCTGATGGCAGAGGACTGAGATAAAGCTATGAAGAGCCTTCATAGTACTGTGAGATCAAATACAGGCATTTATGCATTTCCTCGCTAAGTCTGGTGACTCTGTAGAGGTACTGAGCCTAGGAAGGCAGAGGGTGCTTACCCAAACCATCTGCATAATCATAATTATCCATCTTTCCTTGAGGCTGCTCTTGGCTGCGTTCCTGGATGCTTCAGAGGGCATCCCACTGGCCAGTGGTGAGCATAGAAATGCATCTCTGAGGAGGAAATTAAGAGAACTGGGATCATGTTCCTGCAATCAGCTGCTAATAAAACATAATCACTGTCTCTCTGCCTCTTCCGCCTGTGCGGTTTAAAGAATATTTAGCGTTCTTGCCATAAAATCTCAATTCTCCATCACGAGGCAAGGGAATTCTGATAGCAAAGGAAAGAAAGAGCTTGTGATAGGCTTCAGTGACACTTGACATAGAATAACAAAAAAACCCAAACCAGGCAAGTTATAGATGGTGCCACACTCACTCAAGAACCGATAGACACTTTTTCCTGCTGCTTTGCTGGAAATTCTCATAAACCCTGTGCGTCTCACCAGCCCACTTAACATTTGTGACTGATTCATACACAAGCCCTTTGACAACGCTGTGTTAGCAAGGATGTCTTAGAATCTCTTCCGTGAGCAGGAAGACCACGTTGTTTTTTTTTCCCCCTCAACCTTCAGTTCTCAATGTTCTGCCAAGCTCATGTTGTTACAGAAAGAACCAAATGCATCTGAGTGACCATGCTTAAATGTCTCTAGGGGAAGTCTTGTCTGCTTAGTGGAAAATAAAACATACCATGATGTCTCCTTAAGATGTAAGAAGGCTGGACTCGGTGGCTCAGCCTGTAATCCCGCGCCTTTGGGAGGCTGAAGTGAGTGGATTGCCTGAGCCCACGAGTTCAAGACCCGCCTGGGCAGCGAGACCTCATCTCTACAATAAATCAAAAAATCAGCCGGGCGTGGTAGCGCCTGCCTGTAATTCCGGCTACTTGGAAGGCTGAGGCATAAGGATCGCCGGAGCCCAGCAGGTCGAGGCTGCGGTGGCCGGGAGCAGCCACTGCACTCCAGTCTGGGAAACAGAGTGAGGAAAAAAAAAGATGTAAAAAGTAGGGTGGGGCGGGATGGCTCATGCCTGTAATCTCAGCACTTTGGGAGGCCAAGGAGGGAGGATTGCTTGAGCCCAGGAATTTGAGACCAGCCTAGGTAACAAAGCAAGACCTCATCTCTATAACAAATCAAAAACATTTGCTAGGTGTGGTAGCACGCGCCAGTAGTCCCAGCTACTTGGGAGGCTGAGGTGGAAGGATTGCCTGAGCCTGGAGGATGAGGCTGTGGTGAGCCACGATTGTGCCACTGCAGTCCAGTCTGGGCGACAGAGACCCCGACTCAGAAAAAAAAAAAAAGTAAGGCATACACTTTTTGATTTCTTTTTACGTTTGCTTTGAAGGGTTTAACATCTCAAATAGGAACTACCTTGTACTTAAATCTCTGACAGGCACAACCCTGATTTTTCTTATCCAAAGATCCCATTTTCACCTCACAGCTCTAAAAGAATATTTGCCCACTAAAGAGAGAGACAGAGAGAGAGGGAAAAAAAACCTACATCTGGGGGGAAATCTCTCCACTGCCGGAAAGTCAGATGCAAGGTAGTCAACTGAAAAATGAAGCCCTGTCAAATCCTAGGAGGTATTATTATAGGCTGAAAAGGGGCCATTTTGGTTGTATTAGAACAGTCATTTAGAAAGACTTAAACAGTTGTATTCTTTTGTAGGTGAGGTGGGTTAAATGTAAAAGCTGCTTGGATTTAAAAGTGCACATTTTCCCTATTGCACCCTCTCTTCTCTTCTCCTAGCATGGCCTTGCCCAACTGGCCTGTCTTATCTAGTAGCCAACGCTGGTGCTGAAGAAGAAACAGCTGCGAAACCAGACCACCTAATATCAGGAGAGGACTCCAAGGCCAGCAGGAGTGTGTCTGAAAACCTGGAGTGATAGGGAAACACCTCTTATCAACAGGGTGCCTGAATGAAACGTAACTGTACACCTAACCCTTAACTGTACCCCACAAAATCATAATAAAAAATATTGATTAAAAAATAAAAAATAAAAAAAAAGAAAAGGAAAGAATTCTGTATAATGAAAGTAAGCTCCTTCGGCTGAATTTTGAAAAGTAAAAACTGAAATTACTTCTGTAACATCGGACACTGTTTCACCTCCTTCCCTAACCAGAATAACTTTATTTTCAATACAGATTTCCTGAAAGGATATACAACACGCATTCCTTTGAATTACTTAATCATTCTTTTTGGCAATGTCCTTTCATTGTGATTCTACCTAGGATTAATTTTTTAAATAAATGAAAAAAAAAAAAAAAAAAAGAAAGCCTGGAGTGGGCACTGCTCACCTCCCTCCATCTGTGAATACAAGGACATCGAACTGTTATAGGCCAGGGCTCTGAGAATAAAAGATTGTTGCAATTTTTTTAGTTGTGTTTTAGTCGGAGTCTCACTGTCACCCAGGCTGGAGTGCAGTGGCACACTCACAGCCACCAGTCTCGACCTGCTGGGCTCAGATGATCCTTCCACCTCATCCTTCCAAGTAGCCAGAACTGCAGGCACGCACCACCATGCCTGGCTAACTTTTTGATTTATTGTAGAGACGAGGTCTCACCAAGTTGCCCAGGCTGGTCTTGAACCACTGGGCTCAGGCAGTCCTCTCGCCTCTACCTCCCAAAGTGCTGGAATTACAGGACTGAGCCCCCGTACCTGGCAACAATTAAGTTTTAAGACAATTTAAAGTTATCCTCTTAAATGTTATGGTTTTCCTTTCCTTCCAAATAGAGCAATTGTCTACCCTTTCCTCTAAAAAAAAAATAAAAGAACATATTGTAAATTCCAAAATGTTATCCAAAATGTCAACATGACCAGGAGACTTTGTGTCATGTCAGTGGTCATGTGTCAAAAATTGTTCATATAAATCTTAAGTCATGCTAATACTGCATGAAGGCTTTAAACTCAGGGTGGATAAAGGGTAATAAATTTTGGATTTAAATACTAAAATAAAATTGTGTTGCTTGGAGCAGACTTTTTGGCAATGATGCTGACCTGTCTCCCTATAACCTGGTTATAGAAATTAAGCACTCCCTTTTCTTCCAGTCTCTGTCTCTCGTATTTTAATTGACGCAAGAGATAGCAACCGGTTTATTGGATCGGGCAGTAACAGTATTTCTTTCACAAGGTCAAGGAAGCAGAGGTTGTGACATTAGTGTAAGAGGGAATTATTCAAA